ATTACACTGTCTAAAACCGAATCAACTATATGACAACACATAAACGTATCAAACAAAAAACTATACAACGATGTTCAGTAAATTACTAGTTAATTCCCATACATAAAAATTTTTTTTCACTATTCTAAAATTTGTCATCTCCCTTTTTGCCCCATATGTGAGGTAAAAAGAAACTACTAGAAGGAAAACTGTACCAATATCTTATTTTTAATTTTGAATGGAAAAATTCGAAATATTAGCTACATTATTCAACAATGCTAAATATAAATTTTGGGCGCATTTTTTACTAGATCGTACGGTTATGGTTAATATTTCATGGTTAAGCTCCATTGGAAAATCTTACGCAAAACCTGATTATATTTTATTGTCAAATACTTTTTTGCATTACTTACTTATTGGCATTTCTTTTATTTGCTTCCTGTTCATATTCTGAAAAGCTTTTGCAAAGTAATGCCAATAGAAGTCAAACGGCGTTTGCGAACCATCCACAAGGTTGCCCTGTTGTCGTATATAACATACTCCGGGTTCACACGCACATGTTCTTTACGGGTGTGGTAAAATGGTCGGGAGATATGAAGCGTAGATATCATATAATTCTTTTTTAACTTCTTGAAGGAATGATCGAGTTTATGTTTTTGCCAGAAAATTCGATTTGCTAACTTCATATTTTAACGACGTATCAAATTCTTCGCCCAAAATTGGAAAAAGTGTGTATGTATGTGTATGTGAGCCAAAATTTCACCTTTCGGCAAAGTTTCTCAAAAATGGCTGAACTGGTATCAAGAATTTAACGGCTTTTGATGGAACTCGTGTTAATTAGTTTTTCAAGACGATTGGTCAAGCCGGTTCTTTATAATTACCAGATAAGTGCAGAATTTTTCGCCAAAAATCTTGAACCGGTTTCGATAATTCAAAAACTGTTCGAAAGATATCAGATTTTGGTAAGAATCAGCCGAGCCGTTTTTTCGTCGTAATTACTTGTTGAAAAAAATTATTGACGATCTTAACAAAACTTAGCATAGCAGTAGAGTTTATGGTTTAATTACAAAGTATCATTAACTTTTCGGATGAAAGGCAGAATTTCAAAGATGCTAAATTTCAATGCATAAGTTACAACAGATGCTGCATAAAGTTACAACACTTTTAACATTGTTAACGCCGAAATATGTACGTCAAATAGTATAAAGAAATTATAATATCATAAATTAAAACTTTAAATTTAAACAAATTGTGTCGACTCTCAGCAAAAATATTGTACCTATTTATAAATGCCTGTGACCCATTCTTTTTCACCAAGAGTTCATAACTTGATTACAAAAACTAATTAATGTTGGAATAAAAAGCACAATGTGTAGAGATGCTAAAACTCAATGTATGAACTTGCCTTTAGTCAAAAAATTACGTATTTTAATATTTATCGTTTTTAATAAACATACACTACAGGAGGTTAACTACACTTTTATATTGTTGACGCCAAGATATTGTATTAATATTCGTATAACAAAATTATATCAGAAATTATTTAAATTTAATTTTTTTAATAATTGATCAACGAATTACATTGGCGCTGACAAAAAATCACATTCTAGGTGGACGACTCTTTTAATAATTTTGACTATATTAAAAATTACAACTTTTAATTTCACCTGTTTAATGATTGATTAATAAATTGTATTGACAAAGCAAAAATAACGCATTTATAAATGTGCGTATCCAGATCTTTTTTTGCCAATGCTTAGGAACAGATTAGCCATCAAATTATTTCTAAGGTGACTTCACATCAATTTAGTGTTAGAACGAAATATAGACTACTGAGTAAATATCGATACTTTGCGGTCGATAGTGAGTACTTTGCTATCGATTTTTAGCTCGATCTATTTGCCAATATCGATTCTTTTCGTCGATAGTACTCAAAAAGAATCGACAGCGTAATCTATAAACCACTCATCGACCAACTATTAACCCCACTCATTGCCAAATGCAAAGCAATAGTCTCCCTAGGTGGTCATAATTGTTCAAAGAAGTGTCAAAAAATGATCCCGAAGGGTCATTAGTCTCAGAATTTATTGCTCAAAAACCCCAAAATGAATATGACCACACTAATAACTAAAGATGTTTATTTATTACGCTTATGTAAAATGAAAAAATAAAATGATTCAAAGTACCTTAAAATGTTTTAAAAACAATATCAACAATCGAAGTATGATTATTTCAAATAATAATACTTACCAATTTCAATATATTAGTATTTGCGTAAAAAAGAATCGAAATATAATTATTTCAAATAATAATATTAATCGATTTCAATATACATATTAGTATTTTGTGTTTATTACATTTTAAAATGTAAATATATTTTTTTATATATATATTGAAATGGTTGAGTATTATTATTCGAAATATTATACGAGGTCTGTT